TGGAGGGTAAAGAGTGAAAATGGATGGGTTAGCCATGGGTGATGATCCCTAACACCTATCTGTTTGATGTAAGGGCAGATCATGCCCAGAAGAATTGGGCGAGGCAGATTCCAAAGGTAGAGCTCATTTGATTGGATCTGATGTGGCTCCCAACTGTGCTGTCAAATTTGCTGTTGTGTGCCAAAGGTAGGTGTGTTGCCAAGGAGGAAGAAGGTCAGTGTCCTCTAATGTACCTTAGTCTTTTCTTGGCCTGGTATTCAGGATGCTTGTGTTGGTCAGCTGGTGTCTGTGGCCTCGACTGGGCCTATGGGTGCTACAGCTTGTGGTACAGTGTTGGGATGCAAATCCCTGGGGATCGTAAAGTGACCTTTGAGTCTTCTAATGAGTGCAGAGCGCTATCTGCCTGCTCTCTAAAGAGCTCCATGCCCTCAAAAAAGACAGGTCCTCAGTTGTGGTCTGTACCTCCTGTGACACTGTGCCTGATACTCTTCATAGAGATATTATGATTATGATATAGTTATGATGTATTTTGTGCAAGATACAGCATGTGAGATGTCTTGGAAAAGTTATGATTTGCTGAATATGATTATCCTATTTGTATGCACGTATCATTTTTGTATCTGAAGTTACGAATATTGACTATGTATCTATATTTCAAATGTGTTTACACCTGGAGAACACCCACTACGCAAAAGGCTCTCAGTCTAGATGGCTGGCTGGGAAGGGCCCATTCAAGTTAAGGGCCATTAGAAAAAACAATAGGCCTTATAAGAAGCTTATCTCTCATCTGCGAAGTCTTCCTGAGAACGCTACAAACAGCCTCCGAGGCTGCTGTGACACTACAGAGACATTTGACCAGGTCATCAGGTGCTGGACTCCATCTTGGGATGTCAGTATTTTTGCATTGACTGGCATGGGAACCAAGTTTTGAAACAAAGAGATCTTTCCATATGCAAAAGCTATATAAGACAGGGGAGTGACATCATCTAGGTTCTTCACGGACTCCCCACCCAAGAAGGCTCCTGGAAACACCTGAGGAACACAGACAGAACTGGGGGAAGTGCTGGACCCAGGCTAAAGGGATTTTTAGCCTGTGAATGAAACACCTGGGGATTCCAACCTGTAAGCAAATGCAGCTTGCCCCTTAAGAATCTGCAGCCTGCTTGTATCATCACTTTGGGTGAGAATTTGCTATTCATATCTGATCTATGTAGTATATTAAGCTCAGTTTTCAGTTTTTTTATTTGCTAGGTAATCTGCTTTGATCTGTTTGCTATCCCTTATAATCTCTTAAAATTTATCTTTTATAGTTAGTATATTTGTTTTTACTTTGTTTAAAACCAGTGTGTGGGAATCATAACTCGGGTCAGAAAGTTGTCGCATATTCCTCTCCACGTTGAGGGAGGAGGTGAATTTCATGAGCTTACATGAGTTCCCTGTGCAGTGCAAGACGGTATAATTTGGGTTTACACTCAAGAGGGAGTGCATGCCTGTGTACCAGGGAAGTTCTCTAGCTGGAGCCTTCCCAGGCGGGGCTGGTCATAGTGTCTGCATGTAACTGCAGGTGGGTGTGTCCCTAGCTGTATGTGTGCTGGTGAAAGTGCAGGCTGGAGCCTGGAGTGGGCTGGACAGCTTGTCACAGCAATACAGTGTAAAGGGAGCCCAGGCTGGTGGGTCAGGGGGGCTCAGTGGTACCCCACTTCCAGGTGTCACCCTGGGGGGAAACCCGTCACATCTCCCTTGGGATACCTGATGTTTGGTGCCATGGTGCTTTGCACATCATCACTGTGTTGACCACAGACCTTACCACTGTGTCAGAGGTATCCATTACAGCTTGCAGTGCCATCTTGACTACTAGTTGACCTTCCTTTATTGTGTCTCTTAGCTCCTTTCTGCTATCTTGTGGGAGTTTTGCAAGGAGGGGTTTCACCCTTGGATAATAAGGCCTGCCAGTTGGCCACATGCAGCTGTTGGGAGGCACAGGAGTATGACTTTCTCCCAGACAGATCAAGTACTTTCAGGTCTTTGTCTTTGGGGCTACATTTGCTCAAATTTGATTTCCTGTATCACCAATATGACTAAGGAGCCTGGGGTGGGGTGGGTACAGAAGTACTCAAAACCCAATGGAGGTAATTTGTATCTGTTCTCAACCCATTTCACAGTAAGTGTTTCTATGGCAGATGTCAGCCACAGAGCCTTGGCTGGGTCCAATAATCTCCTTATAAGGAGAGTGATCCTGGCTGGACCAAAAGCTGACAGGATGTTGAATAGCTTATGGGATTTTTCTGATATCTGCCATCTCTAGCTCCAGAGTTTTGGCAATCTGCTCAAGGAATTCCTGGAATGATTGCAAAATGGACAGGGATTGAAGCCTGCAGGTTTCAAGTCTGCCATATTAAGGAGACCTGTGCAGGGTAAGGAGCTATATAGGGAGTGTGTCAGTCCAGGAGAGCCTGTATAGGGAGGTCTAACTGTTGGTACTTAGTCAAGATGGGTCAATATGATCACAGCTATCAAAGAGGAAGGTAATCAAAGGTGTTTTCAAGAACTTCAGATTCAGAAGGTCTGTGTAAGATTTAGTCAAAGCTAAGAACTAGCAGGTCTGAAATTGTCCAGGTTCTGTCTCGCTGTTTTGAATCGTCAATTTGTGGTTCCTGTTTTTTCTTTATCACCTTGACAACCCAGAGTCCTTCTGTGGGAGCATATACATATAGTTATCTCCAGTCCCATCCTTGCATCTTATTTCCAAATAAGCATTTCCCTTCTCCAACAGTCATAGGATCTTTGTTCTCTCTTAGCAACCATATATTTGCATGTTAATTGTCTCAGTAGGAGGTGTTAATCTGAAACTGGCTCATTCTGTCTTTAAAAAATACAGGACTCATATTTTTGTAATTTTCTCCTAACATTAATTCTATGTTATACTAATCCAAATTATAGAAAGTTTAACAACAATAGGCTACAGGAAGTTTCTCCATTTTTTCTAATCTCTTTCAGTTAGAAGAACCAGTCTTTTTGCCAGGTGGATTTTTCTGAAGGTATATAAATATGATACCTTTCATTGCTGTGGATAAGTAAATAAATAATCTCTAAATGAGAGTTTTTCAGAAGGATAACCACCTATCAGAAAATCCTTTAGGTTTAGCTTCCATTGTTTACAAAAAAATTTCCCTGTGGAAGAATGAATTTTTAATTACAGAACATATAATATATGTGTCTTCTAGAATCCTGAACAAAGGAGGGCCCATAGTACAAGCTGTACAGACTTGGAACAGACATGCAATCCATTTGTTCCAGTTTCCAACAGTAGCCAACACTGGATGCTTCAAAGACAGGCATAACCGCACAATGCACCTAATTTTGCGATACTATACAGTGCAAGGAGGGAGCTCTTCCAGACCCAGCAGGTGATCACTTTATGCTTTGTGCACAACCTTTGTAATTTTATGGCAACTGTCGTAACTGTAGATGTTATGCAAGCATCATAAAATATATAGTCATAGAAAAGGAAAGTGAACTTAAAGTTACCCTTCAGGAATCCTACTACTTTAGTCATTCCCTACATAATCCATTACCATCTCAAAGGCTTGCCCCAAGTCATCAGAGAGGACTGAACACATTAAGACTGAAGCATGTTGCTGAGTATGGCTCTTCTGAGAGCCAGGTCAACTGGAAAGGACATAGAATCAGGAGCTAATTGACCTGTAGCTCATGGCTACACTAGAACACAGAAGTTGTTTAAGAGGTAGGGGTGGAATTTAGGAATATAAAAATATCAGTCCTCCTACTGAGAAGAAACTAGTTATTTGCATTTCAAGGATTTTGAAGTATCAGTTTTGCTGATCCCATTCATGATTTATGTTTTCCATTATAGTAGTGTGCTCTGGGAAGATACAGTGGAATGGAAATTTCTTCTCCTAAAAACACAACCTTGTAGTTACTCAACACTGGCTTCTAAACCTAAAGAAATCAAGGCCCTGAGAATTAAGGCCTCTGCTGTATCTGCCTGGGATATCCCATTCTCTGAAGTCTAGCTGATCAGGTTGCATAAATACTTAATCCAAGGTTTTGGAGCAGAGGGAAACAATCCCATAGTTGGGACCCTCCTTCCAGAGGATGTCATGGTATCCTCTCGCACTGAGATACCTCTCCAGGGCAGGTAACTCCAGTTATTAGGAAGAGACAGATAATAGTTATGCGGGATTCGATCATTAGAAACATAGATAGCTGGGTTTGTGATGACCGGGAGAACTGCATAGTGACTTGCCTGCCTGGTGCGAAGGTTGCGGATCTCTCAAGACATCTAGATAGACTTATATGTAGTGCTGAGGAGGAGTCGGTGGTCATGTAGATATCAATGACATAGGGAAGGATAGGAACTCTTTGCCAGAGGATGTTGTGAAGGCCAAGACTATAACAGGGTTCAAAAAAGAACTAGATAAATTCATTGAGAATAGGTCCATCAATGGCTACTAGTCAAGATGGGCATGGATGATGTCCCTAGCCTCTGTTTGCCAGAAGCTAGGAATGGGCACCAGGGGATGGATCACTTGATGATGACCTGTTCTGTTCATTCCCTCTGGAGCACCTGGCATTGACTACTGTCAGAAGACAGGACACTGGGCTAGATGGACCTTTGGTCTGACCCAGTATGGTCATTCTTATGTTCTCCCTACTTTCAGTCCTTGGATGAAATCCTGAGCCCCCTAAAGTGAATGGGAGTTTTGAATGGGGGAGGGGCAAGATTTCATCCTCTATTTTCAGTAAAACAAATTAAACAGGAATGAAATTTTTCTTCCCTGACCTTTCATAAGTAAGGCAATGTGGGTGACCAGTTACAATGATATGTCCAAAGATTTTTACTCACAACTTGGACCTAACACTGAACAATTAGATCACTCCAACAATATTATCTATTTTATAAAATAGTCATATAAACATGTAATAATTTAAGCATTATTTTCCACCAAGGCACAATGGAAAATTGAGTTTACTAGAAATTTCAACCAATTTGGAATAGATTTATTTTTAAAAACATTCAGCACTTAAAGGCCATTGTGAAACACCATAAGTCAGCAGAGAACTAGTGTTGGCTGCAGAGTGACCCTGACCAAAAAAAAAAAAAGAAAATCTTCAGTCCCTTTTGCCATCTCATAGAAAAACCAAAAAGGATTCCACATCTCAGCCCCCATTATAATGAACAGTTTGGTCCTGTTCAGAACATTGATCAGTTAGCATTCAGGATGCAAAGTCAATTCTGATACATAATCCACTAATACATTAGATATTTTGTATAATGCTTGAAGTAGAAGTAACAAGGAGCCATCTAACAGATATTTGTAACTTCATCCAGGTGTTTAAAATATTTATATTATAATATTGAGGAGCTTGCTTAAGTTATATAAAGTTTATACTAAAACCTTCTCCGAGGTATTTTTCATATTGCACCATCAGTTTAAAAACAGTTTAAACATGCCAGATGTTTAAATGAACAACAAATGCTACAAAGGGTAAACAACATGGTTCTATTAAAAACTGTCTTCAACCATGGCACTCAGTGACAGCAATACAATATTTTCTTGGCAAAGCAACTAAGAAAAATTGGCCATAAATTAATAGTCTAGTATTCTAATACATTTGTGTAATCATAACATACTTTATATAAACTCTTTCCTGAGATACTTTGGGTAGTTTAATTTTGTTGTATTACTGGATGCATTATCTTTGATAATTCACTTTAAAACACCTGTACAATATTTTTGTGTGTAGGTCACTATCAATAACACGTAAAAAATAGTAAATGCAAATATATGGCAATGGAACAGCTCTTATAAATGTTGCACTTTTAACCATGTTACACACACTTTAACATTTGTCTCCTTTGGAAAAAAAAATGAAGTTACATCTAAGAATCTACAAAATGCAAAAAAGTATTTCAGGAATGTTAGGGGTTGCAGTTTAAGATAAATGACACAAAGAAAAAGTCGTAATTCTTATTGGCTAGGTATTGTCTTCAAAAGCAACTGGACATGTTGTAATCAGTTCACAGCATAATAAATATTTCTACTAATCTGTTTTGGAAGAACAAATGTCTTTTAGGGTTTCAAGCTCCTCTATAAGTTTCTTGTTCTGAACTTCTAGCACTGCAACACGACTCTCCAGACATTTTATGTATTCTTTCTTCCGACGTCGACATTCTTTAGCAGCTTCCCTGCAAAAAGCAGAAGTAAAGAGTGCAAACAAAAACGCCATTTGCAGCTATTAAAAAATGCAGATTGAAGAAAGCTCAGTATAGTATGGGGACCATGACAGCATTCCAAATTTTGGAACAATTTCCCAAATCAGTCTGAAAACACTAAGCAAAACTGGGTTCACAAGGGTCACAAGTGTCCCTTCCTCAAATTCACATGGCAATCTTGATTAAAGTTCATAGTAAACAAGGTCCAAGTCAAAGACAGTTATTCTGCTTTATGGCAATAAAGATCTTTGAGGGCCTTGAGTTCCTCAATCAGTGTCTTGTTTTGGTTTTCAAGCACAGCCACACGATTTTCAAGACATTTGACATACTCCTTCTTCTTTCTGCGACATTCTCGAGCAGCTTCCCTAGAACCAACACAAGGCAAATAACTACAGGAACAGCCACAACACGGCAAAGACTGGATAAGTGAAATTACCTGAAATCCCTACAATTCCACAATAAATCAATCATGTGTCAGACAAAAAGAAAGCTAAGCAATAATTGTAGACAACTGCACCATTAAACAGCAACTTAAGACAACAGGAACAGCTTGTTAATTAATATAGTTTGCTCAGCTTCTACAGTATGATGAATGAACTTTTACTCACATGAACTGAGACACACACAGTGGGGACAATAATCAGATGTTAATGAACTGCCTTCAACTGCACTGTTATGATTAAATTACTGCCTTCATTTCTGGAAATAGCATTTTTTTGTTCCCATCACATCCCATTTTGATGTGCTTATGAAGGCATTTAGGGTATCATATTCTGCAATCAAAAAGTTTAACTCCAAAAATGTTACAGAATTACCTTTCAGAACATTTAATGTAGCAGCACCAGATTAAACGCAAAGTATCAATTTAATGTAACCGTGACCTTACTTTTGCAAAACTATGGGTTAGGGTTAGTTATAGTTCAATATGGGTATAATTGTTTTCTTTAAAAATGTTCACTTGTACTCATACAATCCTGATTCTTCTTTTTATGCAAAGACAACCACCCATTTCACAAATCTATTCAGAATTCTGTTACATAAAAATTAAGCAGTTTGGGAAGGATTTTCAAAAGCACTTAAGTGAGTTACCACCTAACTTCGTTAGGTATTTAAACACTTCTGAGAATCCCACCCCTTAATATTTACAGGGATGATGTTATAAATTGTCATCATATATTAAGAAAAATGCTTTCCTGTATGCTCTGAAGAAGGGGGTGTGAAACTAGTTCAAAAACTGAAGAGAAAAGAATTAAAAAGAAAAGGAAGCAGTATGAAAACACAACAATCCTTATGGGTGATTTAAAATGAAGACAGGCAAGAGAGCAACACAATATCATGAATGCAATGAGAAAGGATGCAGCGATTCAGTAATTTAGAGCTCTACATAGGAGTCTATTTCTTCCAGCTAAGTGCATGCCTTCCACTGAGGTTAGCAGCAGGTATGCACATGCATAGATGAGAAAACAACACCATTATAAAAGTCAAAGTAATGCATGAAGAAAGCAAGGTAGTTTAGCTTATTCTGCACACCAAAGTACATCCCAAGAAATTAAAAAACATATCCAAAAGTGACCCAGTGCACCAACTGTCACACATAAAGCTACCGAAATCAAAGTTATACTATGGCAGTTTTATTTATTTTTCAAAAACATCTTCCTCCCAGCATATCATGTAACAGTCTGCAACAATCATTTCAGAGTACAATAAAAGTTTCTTTTACAGTACACACTGGATAGATACTTCATTACACACCCACCAAATTTAAATGTAGTTCATATTTAAAAAAATACAAACCACAAAAGAGATAATGTAATTTGTATTACAGAGAAAATAACTGATTTTAATCACACAAATATTTTTCATCCTGCAGGATTTATATTTTTGATGTATATTTGGCATAAAGGTTTTGAAAATAATGCAGATATCTGAGTTTCAGACAGCAATAATTTTATGCTTCCTTCCAAAGGCACAAGCAGACAGCAACTGTAACCCACATGCTTTATACTTATGGTTGCCAACCCTCCAAGATTGTCCTGGAGCCTCTAGGAATTAAAGATTAATCTTTAACTAAAGATTATGTCATGTGAGGAAACCCCCAGGAATACATCCAACCTAAATTGGCAACCCTATTTATACTGCATCATCTGACCTTGTTTGTCCCAAAGAAGGAGAGAGAAGCAGTGGAGGGGAGACATGGATTTTAGTTAGAATACTGTCTCCCCATATGTACAGAGTGCGGTGCAGGGCAACTTAGTTAGAAGGATCCAGAAATAGGGTGTGGCAGTTACTTAGACATGCTCATTAGCTTTTTCTGAAGTTGTATAGGAAGTTTTCATTATGGGCAATCTGTGGGGCCTGACGGGTCACCACTCTCTGAGAGCTGAGCCAATGAAAGTGCACTGGGGAAGAACAGAACTGAGAGATGTATCTGCTAGAGGGCTGGGTCCCAATACCTGTACCACTTTGGATACAGGCTACAGATTTCTTTTTCACTAGCAACTTAGGAGATCTATTCCAAGGGCTGAATGCTTCTAGCCCTGGAGATTTCCAGACTGCCTGTCTGCTGACAGGGTTCTGAAGTATTTGAAAGGACTGAGATGCAGCCATTCTTCCCAGGCTCTGAAGAGTCCAGGTGACACACATTACATATTATGACTACACTATATAAAAAAAAACAACAGTTACTCGCCTTCTTGTAACTGTTGTTCTTCTAGATGTGTTGTTCATATCCATTCCAATCAGGTGTGCGCGTGCCCCGTGCACAGTTGCCAGAAATTTTCCCCCCAGCAGTTCCCGTTGGGATCAGCTGTGGAGCCCCCTGAAGTGGTGCCTTCATGGCGCTCAATATATGACCCTGCCAACCCAGCCCCTCCTCAGTTCCTTCTTGCCGGCTCCTCTGACAGAGTAGTGGATATTGGAATGGACGTGAACAACACATCTCGAAGAACAGTTGCAAGAGGGTACGTAACCGTTTTTTCTTCTTTGAGTGCTTGTTCACGTAGATTCCAATCAGGTGACTCCCAAGCTCTACCCCGGTGGTGGGGCTGGAGTCAAGGAATCGCTAATGGGAGCACCGCTCTGCCAAAAGCTGTATCATCTCTAGTGTGCTGTGTAATGGCATAGTAAGAGGTGAACATATGCACTGAGGACCAAGTAGCTGCCTTGCAGATTTCCTGTAATGGGATCTGGGCCAGAAACACAGCTGACAAGGCCTGTGCCCTGGAGGAATGAGCCTTAAGAGGTAGGTCTGGAACCTTGGCCAGTTCATAATATGTGTGGATACAGGCCGTGATCCAGGAAGATAATCTTTGAGAGGAGACTGGGAGTCCTTTCATGAGGTCTGCCACTGCCACGAAAAGCTGGTTCGACCTCCTGAGTGACTTTATGTGTTCAATGTAGAATGCTAATGCCTGCCAAACATCCAATGAGTGCAGCCTTTGCTCTTGGGTACTGTTGTGTGGTTTGGGATAGAAGGCAGGTAGAAAAATGTCTTGGCTAATATGGAATTGTGACACTACCTTAGGGAGAAAGGCTGGGTGAGGTCTGCGTTGTACCTTGTCCTTGTCGAAGACCATGTAGGGTGGGTCGGAGGTAAGGGCCTTTAACTCTGACACCCTCCTGGCTGACTTGATAGTGACTAGGAAGGCTACCTTCCATGACAGGTAGAGAAGGGAGCAAGTCGCCAATGGTTCGAATGGGGGTCCCATTAATCTGGAGAGGACCGGGTTAAGGTCCCATGCCAGAAGAGGCTGTCTAACCCAAGGATATAGCCATTCCAAGCCCTTAAGAAAACATCCTACCATACGGTTAGTGAATATGGAGCGTCCAGATGTGCCCAGATGGAAGGCCGAGATAGCAGCAAGCTGTACCTTGATGGATGATGCTGCCAGGCCTTGTTGGTTGAGGTGCAGAAGGTAGTCCAGGATGAGTAGTATAGATGCCTGAAGTGTAGGAGTGTGATGTTGGGCACACCAGCAAGTGAACCTTTTCCACTTGGCCAGATAAGTGGCCCTGGTGGATGGTTTTCTGCTGCTGAGCAGGACCTTTCTTACTGGTTCTGAGCACAGGAGCTCCATTGGAGTTAGCCATGAAACTTCCAAGCAATGAGATGGAGAGACTGGAGGTCCAGGTGGTGAAGGCGACCATGGTCCTGCGTGATCAGATCAGGGTAGCGTGGTAACACGATGGGAGTGTCCACTGACAGCTCCAGAAGTGTGGTGTACCAATGCTGGCAGGGCCACGCCAGGGCCAGCAGAATTACTACAGCTCTGTCTGCGGATTTTCAGCAGTACTCTGTGCACGAATGGGAATGGTGGAAAGGCATATATGAGACCATCTCCCCAGGGGAGCAGGAACGCATTTGAGATCAAACCCGGGCTGTGTTTCTGAAAGGAGAAGAACATTGGGCACCTCCTGTTGCTCCGGGTGGCAAACAGATCAACCTGGGGAAACCCCCACTTTTGGAAGCTGGAATATATGACATCCCGATGGATGGCCCCCTCATGATTGTGAAACGATCTGCTGAGGTGGTCCGCTAGTTTGTTCTGCACACCTGGGATATAGAACATCTCCAGGTAAATGAAGTGGGCTATGCAGAACTCCCATAGTTGAAGGGCCTCCCAACATGGGGGGGAAGAGCGGGCTCCACCTTGCTTGTTGATGTAAAATATGGCCGTGGTCTTGTCCGTCATTACCTGCACACTCTGGCCTTGGAGCCAGGATAGGAAGGTTTGGCATGCTAGCCGTACTGTTCTGAGCTCTCGGATATTGATATGCAGGGAGAGCTCATCCTGCAGCCATAATCCTTGTGTCTGGAGTTCTCCCAGATGCACCCCCCAACCCAGAGCTGATGCATCTGTTACTAGGGCCAAGGAGGGCTGGGGGCTGTTGAAGGGGACTCCCTTGCAGACTGTGCGAGGGTCGAACCAACATTGGAGGGACTCGAGTACCTGGTCTGGTACCGTGACCACAGA